CAACATAATGTTCTCCAGAGTCAACCATTTTGAATAATATTGCATGAGTTCCTTGTTTTTTAATGCAGCATAGTATTCCATTGTGCGAATATACTACAGCTTTTCTAGCCATTCGTTTGTTGATGGGCATTTAGGTTGTTTCCAACTCCTTGCTATTGTGAACAAAGCTGCAATAAACATGGGTGTGCATATAGCTAACCCTTAAGTCAATTTTTAAAGGCAATAAATTGCATGGCAGGAGAATGCCCATTGTTCTCCTATGAAGCAACTGGTGGATTCCAACCATATGCCTTTGGAACTGCAGGGCAGTTTCTTATCACTGGAACACCAAAATTCCCTATGAACTATCTAGGACAGATAATGACATAGAAACCAAACTTAGGAGTGCTTTCCAGGTACATGGAAGGAGAGGACACAGTAGTTATTTTTGTAAGCATTGAGTTTTTCTTGATGGTGACAGGAAACATGGCAATACATTTTGGTGACAGCTGCACAACAGTATTCATGTAATGATGCCACATAATGTACAAATGAAAACATTAAACTGGGAAAACTTAAATTATATACAGTTTTATAAGAATAACAAAATGCATCAACATTCAAATATTCATATATAAATATATGTAACTGAAATTTCCTAAAATTCCCATAATATCTACCCCTATGGTTTTTGTGGCATTTCATTTTGCTATGCGTCTGAGAGCTAGACAATGAATAAGGATAACAGAAGAATTCATGTCTTTGAGCTGTTATGTCAGAGAAGATGACTGAACAATCAATGGACTGCCAAAAGAAGAAATAAATATGTACTGGAGAAAAAGCAGCCAGAATGCTTCTCTGCAGCAAAGATTCTAAAGCTTCATCTTACATACTTCAGGCATATTGGCAGGACAAGCTATTCTTTGAAGAGGCAAATGAAATTTGTAAAGGAAAAGGATCTACTTTAATCATGTAGATTGGCACAGTAACTGCCAAAATCGGCTCCAGTCTGTCAGGAAGTGTGAGGATGGCACAGAATATCACAGGATTCAGATCTGTTGTTCAAAGGGTTGTTATGGAGCCTACTCGGTTCGAGGGAACCTAATAACAATAACCACTACTTTTGAGTTATTCTGGTATCTTCTCTATTCCATTCATTGTCTTAGACGATAAGCTGCCTCTAGTAAAACAATTTTCTTACCCTCAAAGGGAAGATAAATTATAGTTAGAAAAATGCTCTCAAAAAAAAAAAAAAAACAACAAAAAAACAAAAAACTCCTATGCTGTCAAGTTATCTGGATTCCAGTGGAAAAAAAGAACCATTTGTCATACAATTTCTAGACATGATTCTCTTCTTTCCCCATGATACTAGGGTTTATGGTATAAAGAAACTAATATTATACATATATGTGTTTATGTTATATGACTATACCAGTGCCAGTAGCAATAGAGTTAATTCTACTTCAGAGACACTTAAGGAGTAATAGGATAGAGGAGCCATCCCTAATAATTTAAACTGCTGATTTTTCTGCAGTAGACCACCAAGTCTTTATCCTGAAGTGTCCCTGGATACTAATATATTTTGGGCAAGTTGCTAGGAGCGGCTATGCCTTGGAGAGGAACACCATGAAAGAGAGGAAGACCTTTAATGGGATGTATTGAAACAGTGACTTCAGAAAAAGGCTCACGTGTTTCAGGGATAATAAGGATGAACAGGAAAGGGCAGGGCTCAACTCTGTTGTTTATAGGGTCATGCTCAATTCCACGGCAATCAACAACATGAGTTGTACTTGACTCAATAGCACATAACAACAACAACCAATACCATCTCTGAAGAGACCAGAAAAAGCACTTGCTGGTTAGTAGCCAACACACAGTTTGGATAGTTACTGTTGTTCAGAACTATAATGTTGCACAAAGTATCTACAAGGAAAAGGGTGTGATACTTTACAATAGAGTAAAATTAGGTTTCTTACCCAGTATTAAAATGTTTTGATTTATATGAAGCATTCCTTGTTCCTACAGCTTAACAGAAACAAAGTGACATTAGAAGATGGTATCATGAAACAACTTATAAGATATCATCTCACCCCAGTAAGAATAGCAAAATTCAAGAGGGCAGAACACAACAAATGCTAGTGAGGTTGTGGAGAAACTGGAGCTCTTATTCACTGTTGGTGGGAATGTGAGACAGTACAACTATTCTGGAAGGCAGTATGGTGCTTTCTCAAATAACTAGAAATAGAAATACCATTTAACACAGCAATTCCACTACTGGGAATATATCCTAAAGAACTGCGACCCAAGCAGATAAACATACACCCATGCTTATTGCTGTGTTGTTCACAATAGCAAAGACTTCAAAGCAACCCAAGCGCCCATCAATAAACAAATGGACATCTCTGAGAAACTGTGATATATTCACACAATGGAATATTATGCAGCACTGAAAAACACAGATCTCATGAAATATACAAAATGGGTGACCCTGGAGGACCTCATACTGAATGAAAGATTTCATTCACAAAAGGACAAATACTGTGTAATGCCACTGTTCTAGAACAGGACTGATAAGGGGGTTGGGGGAAACTAAGAAAAGCAGGGATAAATAATGTAACAGGCATTGAAACAGATGGAGAGAACTATACAAAAGGAATATATGATTAGGTATTATTGGTATGACAAAAGTTCAGAATAAGAGTTACATAGTAAAGTGGTCAGCAGGGTGGGGGTGGAGGGACTATAGAACAATGAAAGAATTTTTTCCCAAAAAAGCAAACTGAGGGGGAGGGGGGATACGAAGGAAAATGTACAATAATATAATAAATGAATGGAAATCCAAGTTCTTTATAAACTTTCATTAAAATTTTAGAAAAAAAAAAAGATGGTATCATGATTGGAGAAAAACCCATCAACAACATGCACTACGGCGATGACACAACCTTACTTACAGAAAGTGAAGAACACTTTAAGAACTTATTGCTTAAGATATGTATGTATTTAATATGGATTGACTCACAACATCACAACTTAAATATGGATCGGATCACAACATAAAGAAAATAAAAATCCGGACCACCAGGAGACGAAAACATTGATAAATGGGACCGTCTAAAGATGTAGTCCCCCTGTGAATAAAAAACTTATTCCGAAAGGGTGAAAAGAAAACCTACTGACTGGAAAAAAACATTTGGCAAAGACAACTCAAACAAGGGTGTCAACAAAAATCTACAGGATACAACAGAGCCTCCATGAGAAAAAGACTGATAACACAATCTTTATAAAATAAGGGAAAAAATATGGAAAGACCTTTAACAGAGGAAGATATCTGGTGGGTCAACAGGCACATGAAGAAAGGCTCGATATCACTGGAAGTGAGAGAGATGGAAAGCAAAACCATAGCGAGCTATAATATGGCCCCAACTGCAGTGGCTAAATTTAACAGGACAGCAAGCAATAAGTGTTGGAGATGATGTGAAGAGATTGGAACTCTCATACACTGTTGGTGGGAGTGTAAAATGCTACAACCACGCTGGAAGGCACTTTGGCATTTTCTCAAAAAGCTGAACATAGACACTTCATATGACGCAGCTATTCCCCTTTTTAGGCTTATACCTCAAGGAAAGCAGAACTGAGACAGAAATTTGTAAAATGGAAATTTTTATACACATTTTCATAATTCATACTAACAAGAACAGGGAAACAGGCCAAATGTCCATCAACATACAACTGCACTGGGAAAGTATGGTAATTCACAGGATAGAATGACTATGTAGCACTCAGGAGCAATGATTTTGAAAAAGACTGCATAACGTGAGAGGCTAAAGAGCATTATGCTGAGTGAACTTATTTAGGAGCATAAGTACAAACACCATGTAAGACCATGACTGTAAAAATAGAAGGATAATAAGTAGAATATGTATGGATATACAAACAAGGAAGGATAAGAGAAAAGCAGACTGAGGGTGGGGAGGGGAGAAATCACAAGGTCCCAGGTTTGGTAGGTGGAAGAAGAGGTGAGTAATAATAGAACCAACAAGGTACAAATGTGAAACACAAGGTAAACAATTAATGTATACAAATCAATTAAAAAACCACACAATACTTACACTAAATGAACTGGAAACATTATGACAGATGGTGAAAAGACTGAAGTTATTAAGGATTCAATTTTATATAAACCCACAATGAATACAGATGGTAGTAGAAGTCAAGAAATCCAAAGGCCTGTTGCATTAGGAAAATCTGCTGTGAAGGACCTCACCAAAGGGATAAAAAACAAAACCATCATTTTAATGATAAGGCACCCCTGATTCAAGTGACAGAATTGTCTATTGTTTCATATGATCTGAAAGTTAGAAAAGGAATAAAGAAAACCAAAGAAGAATCAATGCCTTTGAATTGCTATGCTGGCGAAGAGTACTGCGTATCTATGGAATGGACTGTCAAATATCGGCCTGCCTTTCTTAGAGGATGTGCAGACAGGGTGCTCTTTAGAGGTAAGGATGGTGAAACTTCATCTCACATATACTGGACATGTTATCCAGAGAAGGCTGCTGTTGTTGTGGTTATGTGTCTTTGAATCACTTGTGACTCCAAGCAACTCTAGGTACAACAGCTCTATCTTGAACCAGCCTCATTGTCTGTGAAACACCTTCCCCCAGTCACCCTAGTCACTGAATCAATCCATCTCAACCAAGGTCTTCCTCTGTTGCACTGTCCCTCCACCCTTCCAAGTATGGTATCCCTTTCCAGGGACTGGTCTCTCCTGCCAACATGCCCAAAGTACGTCAGATGAGGCTTAAAATCCATGCCTCTAAAGAGAAACTTGGTTTCATCATCTCCTGTTTGTTCACAAACTTGTTTGTTTTCCTAGCAGTCGACAGTATACTCAATACTCTTCTCCAGCACCATAACACAAAGGCATCAATTCTTCTTCTGTCATTTTTGGTCTTTGTCCAGCTCTCTGATGCACAAAGTCCATGCCTGGATCAGGTGCACCTTCATCTTTAGATTGACTTCATTGCTCATCAGTACTCTGGAGTGATCACCGACTGCAGATTTTCCCAATCCAGGTTTCTCCACTGCTCCTGGAAAAAGTGCAAGGTCATGACCATAAATAAGGCTCCAAAGGAAGGTACTTAACCCCACCTAGAGGAAAAGTGAGAAGGAATGAATGTGCCAAAAATGCATAAAGGCAGATGATCTGAGAAACCTTAGGAGAGAGATTAATGGAGGAAGAGGCTGACAGAAAAACTACAATCCCTCCTGCAGTATTTCTGGTCTGAGTACAAAATATTAAAGATTTAACTTGTATGTGTATGAATTTGTTTTTTCTAACTATTTAATTATTGACTTTAAAAAAAAATTATTTAGCCCCGCCCCCCCCCCCCCCCCGCAGCGGGAGCACCTCCGCTCGCCACCTGGGGACCCGCGCCCTCCGTTCGCTGGGGTTATAATTGCTTCTCACCCCCCCCGGAGGGGTTATTTTGGGGGTGGTTGGAGGCGGCGGCGGTGAGGGTAATTTCCTTGTGCCTCCATTCCCGGGAGGGGGCAGCGGCGTTGGAGGCCACGGTGTCCAGCATCAGCAGCAGCAGCTTGTGATTGGCGATCCCGGACATTCAGTTGTACATCCTCACATCAATGCACTGCCAATGGGTTACATCCTGTGTTGTGACCTCATGGTTTACATGGGAATAAAGATGAGTATAAGCAGTGATGAGGTCAACTTCTTGGTATATAGATACTTGCAAGAGTCAGGATTTTCTCACTCTGCGTTTACCTTTGGTATAGAAAGCCGTATCAGTCTAATATAAATGGTGCCCTTGTCCCACCTGCTGCATTGATTTCTATCATCCAGAAAGGTCTACAGTATGTAGAAGCAGAGGTTAGTATTAATGAGGATGGTACTTTGTTTGATGGTCGACCAATAGAGTCTCTGTCACTGATAGATGCCGTAATGCCTGATGTAGTACAAACAAGACAACAAGCTTACAGAGATAAACTTGCACAGCAACAGGCTGCAGCTGCAACAAACCAAAAAGGATCTACAAAAAATGGAGAAAACACAGCAAATGGGGAGGAGAATGGAGCACATACTATAGCAAATAATCATAAGGATATGATGGAAGTGGATGGAGATGTTGAAATCCCTCCTAATAAAGCAGTGGTGTTACGGGGCCATGAATCTGAGGTTTTCATTTGTGCCTGGAATCCTGTTAGTGATCTCCTGGCATCTGGGTCTGGAGACTCAACAGCAAGAATATGGAATCTCAGTGAAAATAGCACGAGTGGTTCCACACAGTTAGTACTTAGACATTGTATACGAGAAGGAGGGCAAGATGTCCCAAGCAATAATGATGTAACATCTCTAGATTGGAATAGTGAAGGTACACTTCTAGCAACTGGTTCATATGATGGATTTGCCAGAATATGGACTAAAGACGGTAACCTTGCTAGTACTTTGGGACAGCATAAAGGTCCTATATTTGCATCAAAATGGAACAAGAAAGGAAATTTCATCCTAAGTGCTGGAGTAGACAAGACTACAATTATTTGGGATGCACAAACTGGTGAAGCCAAACAACAGTTTCCTTTCCATTCAGCACCAGCATTGGATGTTGATTGGCAGAGCAACAATACCTTTGCTTCTTGTAGTACAGATATGTGCATTCATGTCTGTAAATTGGGACAAGACAGACCTATTAAAACATTCCAGGGACACACAAATGAAGTAAATGCTATCAAATGGGACCCAACTGGCAATCTCCTGGCATCCTGTTCTGATGACATGACTTTGAAGATATGGAGTATGAAGCAAGACAATTGTGTCCATGATTTACAAGCACATAACAAAGAAATTTATACTATTAAATGGAGTCCAACAGGACCAGGAACAAATAATCCAAATGCTAACCTTATGTTGGCAAGTGCCTCCTTCTATTTTACTGTTAGATTATGGGATGTAGACCGAAGCATTTGCATTCATACTTTGACAAAACACCAAGAGCCTGTGTACAGTGTAGCTTTCAGTCCTGATGGCAGGTATCTGGCAAGTGGTTCTTTTGACAAATGCGTGCACATCTGGAACACACAGACAGGTGCTCTAGTTCACAGCTATAGGGGAACAGGTGGAATATTTGAAGTTTGCTGGAATGCAGCAGGAGACAAAGTTGGAGCCAGTGCATCAGATGGTTCAGTTTGTGTATTAGACCTTCGGAAATAGTTGGAAGCCATGGACCGACTATGAATATGTACATAGCCAAAATGACTGTCCTTGACCCATGTACTGCTATAGTCCCACTTGAACCATGGCCAGTTCACTACAGCCAAATCTAAAAGAAATATATACGTCCAGTGTATATAAACAAAATTG